CTGGGCATAGGGTATATGAAAACTCTCTGTACTATCTACCCAATTTTTCTGTAAATCTATAAGTATTCTAAAATAAAAATTTATTTTAAAAACCATGAAAACCTAAGTATTTTTTTTGCTAATTCTTGTTAATATTGTTAATCAATATAATTGATTTTTAAAATTTACTCATTCAACAAATATTTGTTGAGTGCTGTTGTATACCAAGCACTATTCTAGGCACTAGGGAGACAGGAGACAACAAGACAAAATTTCCACCCTCAGGGAGCTTGCACTGTAGTAAGGAAGAAAGATGAAAATAGTGAGTGAGGTGGAAAGGAAGACAAGATGTGATCTGAGAAGCAGGCAGAGGCCAGCACACAAAAGAGTCCAAAATAAGGAATTTATATTCTATTCTAATTGGAAGCCACTGAAGGATTTTCATCAGAGGGATACGAATGAATTTATGTTTTAAAAAATCACCTTGATATTTATCACAGCTTTAATCATAATCACCAAAAACTGGAAACAACCTAAATGTCCATGAATATGGCAATGGATACACAAATTGTGGTCTATCCACACTTTGGAATACTGCTGGAAGGAACAGACTAACTGGTATGCTCAACAACATGAATGAATCTCAAAAGCACTGTGAGAGACCAGACTCAAGTGGTCACACACTGGGAACCAGCCCTGACGGCCTAGTGGTTCAAGTTCGGCGCTCACCACTTCGGCAGCCCGGGTTCGCTTCCCAGTCGCGGAACCACACCGCCTGTCTATCAGTTGCCACGCTATGGTGGTGGCTCACGTAGAAGAACTGGAACGACTTACAACTAGGATATACAACTATGTACTGGGGCAGTACATAAAAAAAAAAAAAAACAGTCACACACTGTACATTCCATTTCTTACAGAAATCACATCACCAGCTGCCAGGGGTTGAGGGTAAGGGAAGGAGACTGGCTAAACAGAGGCACAAGGGAACTTTCTGGAGTGATGGAAATGTTCTATATCTTAGTTGTGGTAGTGGTTACAGAACCACATACATTTATCAAAACTCAAATTGTATACGTAGGTGAATTTTATTGTACATTAATTATACCTCAATAAACCTGGATTAAAAAAATCACTCTGGGGGCCAGCCCCATGGCGTAGCGGTTAAGTGCACGTGCTCAGCTGCTGGCGGCCCGGGTTCAGATCCCAGGCGCACACCGACTCACTGCTTGTGAGGCCATGCTGTGGCGGTGTCCCACATAAAGTGAAGGAAGATCAGCACAGATGTTAGCTCATGGTCAGTCTTCCTCAGCAAAAAGAGGAGGATTGGCATGGATGTTAGCTCAGGGCTGATCTTCCTCACACACACAAAAAAAACAAAAATCACTCTGGCTGTGTGGAAGATGAATTGGAAAGGAGTAAGAGGCTGGGGTGCAGGGAGAGTGGTCCCACGGTATGTCCAGCTACTTTGGACATACTGAGTTTGAGATATTTCACAGATACCGAAGTGGAGACATTAAGAAGACAGTTGCTATGAGTCCGAAGTTCCTATCATCATCACAATACTCACATTGTTATATTTTTGCATTTACTGTTGAGTTAGACTTGTTAACTGCCCATTCCACCATCTCACCTCTGAGAGTGTAAACTACTTAACCTCCACTGCACTTTCCAATACATACCATAGTCACTAGCCACAAGTAGCTATTTAGGTGGCAATTAACTAAAACTTAATTAAATTAAAAATACAATATCTTGGATGCACTAGCCCCATTTCAAGTGTTCAATGGCCACATTTCCATCATCACAGAAAATTCTACCGGATGGTGCTGCTCTAGAAGATTATCTCTAAGTTTTAACACAGTGTTAAGACTCATTGATTCCAGGGACCACTTCAGAGTTGCCGAGCAGCACAGGTTCTTTACTATTAATTGTGACAGTAACATCTCAAGGCATTGTTTTAAAAGTAAATGAAGGGCTGGCCCAGTGGCGTAGCAGTTAAGTTCTCACACTCCACTTTGGCGGCCTGGGGTTCACAGGTTCAAATCCCAGTCATGGACCGATGCACCATACATCAAGCCAAGTGTGGCGGCGTCCCACACACAAAATAGAGGAAGATGGGCACAGATGTTAGCTCAGAGCCAATCTTCCTCACACACACAAAAAAGTAAATGATGCTTATATAAACTGTAAAAAAGTGTTTCACCTCTCAGGCTTGGCTTTTTCTCTGAAAAAAAAAAAAGCTTTAATTTTTTAAAAATGATTCTTAAAAGAGGTGGGGCGTTTTGAAAAGTTTATTTCAGAAAGACAATATGAAGAATTTTAACTTTTTCTTTCTATATTAATGAATTCGTTAATAAAAAGGGTCTGTATCCCTCCCAGTCACCACCAGAATCAACCACAAAACCATGCTATTTCACACTAAAATGTACTCTTCCAACTGAATAGAAAAATCAGAAAGAGAAACACCCACAGGCAGTTAAATTACCCAATTTATTTTGTTCTCTTCCTACGACAACTGCTGTTGAGGTTTAATTATTTTGATACTACTTCATAGCATCCTAATATATGTGTCAGCACCCTCTCCGCAGGTCCCTTCAATTACATCTCTATAGCGAAGTGGAGGTGAGACTACCTGGGTTTCTGTGAGAATTAAAGGGTTTGCAGATGAGTTGCTTCCAAATTAGCAGGCTGAGAGGTACGATTCTGTTCTTAGTTCCCAGTGAAAGCAATTAACAAGAAAGGTAACAGGAACACGGTTCTTTATCCCTTCCAGTCTCGCACCTCCCTTGCGAGTGCAGGCCTCCCACCGACATGGTGCTGACAGCACAAAGTGCTTTGGGATCCTTTAATCCATATGCTGCTGCTAAGATTCTCCATGGGAACTATGTATCAGAGGGCACCACAGAGCAAATTGGTGGGTGGCTCCTCCACTCATTAATCTTTATGGCAAAAGACGGGATGGGGTTTTATAAAGAAAAAAACACATTGCCCCCTTGTTGTAATCCGGGTTTGACTTCAGCGTAAATCACCTGAGTACTGACACAGTGCGTGGCACAGTGTGCACCTGTCAAGAGCTCAATAAATCCTTGTTGAATAAATGAGTGAGTGAAAGCCTGGCACACAGAAGATACAGTCATGCATCGCTTAACAACTGGGATGTGTTCTGAGAAATACACCGTTAGGCAATTTCATAGTTGTGTGAACATCATAGAGTGTACTGAAGGGAAATAAAATCTGCCACCCCAAAATGTTTCTCTTTAACATGAAGATTATTTTAGGCTGCTTCTTTTTAAGAAACAAAAGAGTCAGAAAGTTTTTCTTGTTACCTCCCCCTTAACTGCCAAAAAGAATTCAGATTAAAAAACCTGCCTCAGGAAGCGAACTATCACCTTAGCATAACATGAACTAGGTGACAGACGGAGAGTAACCTAGAAAAGCCTGTTTGTTGGGCTCCCCTTTGTGTTCTTCTGTTTCTGTAAGGCCAAACACACACTTGTTTTCCAAACATTTACTCCTTTTCACCTCTCTGTGAATTGCCTTCCCTCCCTTTGAAGTTTCCGGCTCTCCTCACCCCCAACATCTTCTTTTGTCATTAACTGAGGACGGCATTTAAGGTGAGGGCTTTGGCCATTTCGGCAAGTTACTCGGTTTTCCTGGGTTTCTCACATGTATATACGTTACTAAACTTTTGTTTTTCTCCTGTTAATCTGTCTCACGTCAATTTAATTCTTAGACCTGCCAGGAGAACCTAGAAGAGGAAAATTTCTTCCTCCTTTAAAGTACTCATACAAACCTAGATGGGATAGCCCACTACACACCTAAGCTATATGGAACTAATCTTATGGGACTACCACTGCATATGTGGTTCGTCATTGACTGAAATGTCCTTCTGCCGCACATGACTATTCCATAAATATTCGTTGAATATATGAAGAGAATCATCAAGACACTGTCATAGGCACTGGGGAAGCAGGGACATGATATTTATTGTCAGACAACTTATAACAGGCTCGTATATTATGAAGCAAGGGTAAGGAACCCAACAAGGGCTCTGAGACCAGAAGTCTGCATTCAAATCCCAATGCAGCCACATAACGGGAAACCTTGGCCAAGCCACTTGGGATCAGCTTAACTGGGATCAGCTTTCTCATTTGGAAAAAAGAATAACATCTACTTACATGGTTCTTTCACGAGTTTGAAAAACAAAATGTAAATAAATCGCTTAGCACAAGGCCCAGCATATGGAAAATACAAAATAGAAAAGTGGTAAAAATCCCCAGTAAATGTTAAGGTTCCTTGAGGCTTACTATGTGCCTGTCACTGTACCACACATTCTAAATGTATGACCACATAAAATTCTCACGCCAACCCTAAGGTAGGTAGGATGCGCACCTTCTACAGGTGAGAAAATGGATGCGCAGAGGGTGATGACAGGCTAGGGGGCTGAGCTGGGATTCGAAGCCGGGCAATATTTACAGTGCACACTCCTATTCACTACACGGTATTTTCCTCTCTTCTAACATCAGCAACCACTTAAAAGCTCAGGTGCTGAAACAGGCACTTTGCATGCAGGTTTTATCAAATCCACCCAAAAATCCTGAGAGGCAAGATTAAGTCCACGCAGCTGAGACTCAGAGAAGTTCTGCGACTTGCCCGAGGCGCGGCCCCCAGCCTCGGGAGCAAACACCCCCTCGCTCACCACCCCGGCCGCGGGAAACCTCCCCTCAGCTCTCGCGCGCAATCTCTGCGCTTCAGTGCCCCAAGGCAGACCCCACTGAGCGTACCCCGCGGGGAACCCCGAAACTCCGTCCATGCCCGCCCCAACTGCCCCCAACTGCCCCAACGGTCATCAAGGCTCCCCTCGCCCGCTGGGTTCTGACAGCTCTGGGTCACCCCCCCTCTCCCACCTCCCAAGCCCGGACTGGGGGATCGACCCACTGCCCCCACGACAAACCCGGCAGCGTGGGGGAGGGGAAAAGGGAGGGCGCATGCCCAGAAGGTTCCATTTGGCCCCAGCTCACCTGGGAGTCGCGGAACTCCACCACCACGTTCTCGCTGCTCCATCGCGTCGCCATCTCCCACGCCCCGCCACCCCGGCCCCAGGACGGCGCCTTCCCACCCCCCACACCCGCGTTCCCTGGCTCGGTGATCCCCACGCAGCCCGCGAGTCAGCCACGCCTCGTCCCCCCCTCTTCCGCCCGACCGCAAACCATTGGCTGACCGAAACACCGACTCCGCCCCCTCTTCCCGGCTCCTCCAATTGTGGCACCGCGCCTGCCCCCAAACAGGCACGCCCCTTTCACTGCCGTCGCTCGGCGTGAGTCACACACGCTCTTCACGGCTGCTGGCACACGCCCCCTGCCGCAAGCTCTGCCGGGAGTTGTAGTCCACGGTCGAGCGGCGCGTGGGTAACCTGGAGAGAGCTCTCAGGTTAGGGTTTGTCCCAGGAAAGGCGTGTGTTATCCTCCCTGTCTCCTCGCTGGTGTCCCTGGCAAGGTCCAGGCCTTCTACAAACCAAAACCCAACATTCGTGTACACCAAAGTTTGCCTCTTTCCCTGAGGCCTGCCGTAAAGGCATTGAAAAGTCTGAATGCGCGATTTATTGTTTCATACAGTACAGCAGTGCCTGCCAAAGTGTCCAGGGACCCCAGGGGTCTCTACGACCCTTTCAGAGGGGTCTCCGAAGGCAACAATTTTCATAATCATATTAAGAAGTAATTTGCCTTTTTCACTTTCTTTCTCTCACCAGTGTACGGTAGTTTTTTAGAGGCTACATCATACATATATTGTAACAGATTAAACGTAGAAGCAGGTGTGAGAATCCAGCAGTTTTCTATTAAACCAGACATTAACGAGATTTGCCACTCTTCATACTAAAATTTTTTTGTTTTGAGAAATATAGTTATTTTTCATTTACAAAATGTCTTATTAATGTTAATGTGCATTGATGTTTAAATGAAATAACTGACAAGTACTTTTTTAAATTCTCAGTTTTAATTTCTAACTATTGATAGTAACAACTATCAATAGATAGAGCCCACATAAGAGTTTTTGGGGGTCTTTAATAATTTTTAAGAATGTAAAGCCATATTTGAGGAACGCATCCTAGGAGCTTTGGAAAACAAGGATTTTTGCAAGAGGCACTAACGTTCTGCCTCTAGACTGTGTTTCCAGCCTTTACAGTCTACAGATCCTGGACTTGAGCTGCAACATCCAACTGGATTCCCAGGCTCCAGCCAGCCCTGCTCCCTCAGACTGGCCAGCCCCACCATCTGAATTGACCACCATGAGGCAATTCCTTAATCTATCCTGTTGCGACTGTTTCTCCCGACTAATAGGGATTTCATACAATTCGGTGATTTTTTTTTTTTTTTTTTTTTTTTTTTTGGTATGCTGACAAAAGGACTCCCTAGTTTGTCTTAAGTTTGAAGTCCAGGGGAGATTCTGTCAGCGACCAAGGACCTCAGTTAGTCCTGAACAGGTTTTTCCTCCAATTACAACCCAAAGTTTTACAAATGTCTTCCCGTCCCTATAGCATTTACTTGTCACACTAAATGTAAATGTGTATAGACCAGTTTTACCACCTCTAGATTGTCTAATTGTTTAATATATTCTACAGTGTCTACTATAGCACATTCTTAAAGCCATCCATCCATTTATCTTTACATTTCAAAAATCTGGTCATAAGACCAGCATATACTTAAGCAATTTAATGGTGAAACTTAATAAAGTACAATAAAACGTGAAAACTGCATACCGACCCCCCCAATAAAAAAAGAGTGTAAAAGGGTCCTGAGATCAAAAAGTTTGGGAACCGCTGTGCTAGCATGGTAAATGGTGATTAAGTTCTCTCCTTCAGTCCCAACCTCTCAAATCCTGGCTTAACTGGCTTAGGCTCAGTTTCTTTATAGAAAGGGGAAATGACCTTCTTCGTTTGCTTGTTGTAAGGAGTGAAGCACAGGGCCTGGAATGTAGTCAATACTCAAGTGCAAACTATGATTATTGTTGTTAATGTTATCACTATTTCTATGTGAAAGTCATTGCATGAGTAGAGATAAGAAGGCTTCCCTTCCCTCCGGGAGTGTTGCAAGTAATGGAGAAGTCAGACTTGTCAACAGGTTGGAGTGACCAAGTGTTCCCAAGAAACCCTTCAGTCCAGACAAACTGGGATGGTTGGTCACTGTACAACAGGTATACACTTAGCAGAATGAATTGTGTTTTAGGAATGTGTAAAAATATATGCACCCCTATGTTCATTCCAGCATTATTCACAATAGGCAAGACTTGGAAGCAACCTAGGTGCCCATCAAGGGATGAATGGATTAAAAAGATGTGTTATATATACACTATGGTATACTACTCAGCCATAAAAAAGATGAAATCTTGCCACTTGTGACAACATGAATGGACCTTGAGGGTATTATGCTAAGCGAAATAAGTCAGAGGGAGAAGGTCAAATACCATATGATCTTACTCATAAATAGAAGATAAAAGCAGGGCCGGCCCTGTGGCTTGGTGGTTAAGTGCTCGCGCTGCGATGCTGGTGGCCCGGGTTCGGATCCCGGGTGTGCATCGAGGCACCACTTCTCCGTCCATCCTGAGGCCGAGTCCCACATACAGCAACTAGAAGGATGTGCAGCTATGACATACAACTATCTACTGGGGCTTTGGGGGGAAAAAATAAAATAAATAAAATCTTAAAAAAAAAAAAAAAAAAAAGAAGATAAAAGCAACAACAAACACAGAGACAGAGATTGGATTGGTGATTACGAGAGGGGAAGAGGGGAGGGAGGAGGGCAAAAGGAGTGATTAGGCTCATGTGTATGGTGATGGATGGTAATTAGCCTTTGGGCAGTGAACATGATATAATCTATATAAAGCAAAATACAATGATATACACCTGAAATTTGTATAATGTTATAGACCAATGTTACTGCAATAAAAAAAAGGAAAAAAAAAGAATTGAAAAAAATCATTGAATTGTACCTTTAAAAAGATGCAGTTTATTCTATGTAAATTATACCACAATAAAGTTTATTTAAATTAAAAAAAAGAATGAATTGTGTTTTATAAAAGACTTGCAAGCAATGTGCCAGGAGAGGACAGCCTAAATGGGGCACCTGACATGGCATCCTGAAGAAGGTGACATTTGTGCTTTTCATTGTATTAGGATTTTGATAGAGTACACTATCAAAAAAATATATACTTCAGCATTAATTGTGGGAACAAAGACTCCTGTGAAGAGTAGGATGCATTTCAAAGATATAAAGCAGTTCCCCAACTAACACTCATGGCGCTGTGCTTCTTTCTTTCCTTCAAAATACACATCACAATTTGTAATTCAATTTTTACTTGTTTATTTAATATTATCAAGCTTCGGGAGGACAGGGACCGGATGTGTTTTGTTTGCCCCTGCATGGTGACTGCATGTACGAGGCGCTCCATGAATACTTGCCCAGTGAATGAATGAGAAAAACATATAAAGTCATGCCCCCAGACTGCTGTCGAGGTCAAAAGGATGCCTTCTGTGAAACCAAAAGTAATTTCGATAACTGTTCATGGTCTTTACTTGTAATTCTATATAACCAGAAGGAAATACAGAATCACCATTCTCCTTAAAATCCCTTTGCTTTCTTTCCCATCCATGTATCAGTTATTGGCACATACTGCAGCCCTTAAAAAACTCCTTGAGCCCTGGCCTCCACCCTCCTGTGTTGGTCTATTTTCCTGCCTCCAGTTTCCTCCCAATTCTGTCTCACAAAAGGCCATGGCTCTGGAGAGAAAGACCTGAGCTAAGAGGGCCAGGAAGAGGAAAAACTGCAAGCCAGGCCCCAGGGCAGGGAGAAGGAAAGATAAAGAATACTTTCTAGCATGCTCATGCCATCATATAGGAATAAGTAAATGAATTAAGTCATCTAATACACCACATATTTGTTTGTTTTCCTATTACCTAGCATGCACTAGGTGCTTAATAAATATCCACTGAATGAGTGGTTAGCAAATAGTCAGGTGTGGCTGTAACTTAGGGTCTATGGCAGGATGTAGCAAGAAGCACAGCTAGAAAAGTTGGAACGGGCTAGTTAGGAAGGGCCCTGCTTAGGCATTTGAGTTTTATTTTGGATATAGAGATATAGAAATAGATATTCCAAAGCTCTCTACCTGTCTGTCTAGATACAGTTTGGTAATCTGTTTCCCACTAAAACCAGTAGGATTGCCCTTGCCTGAGCATTTCTGTGACTCTCTGCCACTCCCACCTCTTTAGTTCATATTTGTCTAGTTCTCAAAATCTGCTTGTCATGGTTCATAGGCACAGAAAGTACTTTGAGTTTCGCGTCCTTGGCGTTCTCTGTTCTCTCAATGTTTTCCTTCTCAAAGGTGAAAAAGGCCCGCTAGAATTTTTGAGAGAGGGAGCATGAGCACCTTTCAGACTGCCTCCTCAGGGCCTTCCTTTCCATCTCCCACCCACACTGTCATCATAAAAGAGTGGGGACGCTGGAGCTAAGTCTAGAGGTCTCTGGATGCTTCTTCATTGCCTTGCACATCTGAGATCCACACATAAATGCTCTGTCTGCATCAGAGACTAGGGACCGGTGGGGGTCCCTTTTCAAGTCGACCTCAACTTGCTGACCAGGCCACAGGGCCCTTATTGTCAATGTCTTTTCAGGAGGTCACTTGCTAGCCAAGCCACAGGAAGGCAGGGTACATGGCCAAACCAGAAATCCAGGGCTTTGGCTGGCTCTTATCAGCAGCTAGCCTTGCAGGCTTGAGCATGATCCTTTATCTTTCTAGTCCTCTGTTTCCTCTTCTGCAGAATGTGGGGTTAGCTGACCCCTCAGTCCCTTTACATCTGGGAACCTTGGAATCCTGCCCTGAGCCCCACTAGTAATTTCCCTCTCTTCATCAATCAACAAAAATTTTGAACACGCCCACATGCTCAGGCTCCTTGCTATGTCCATTTGGTTGCCCATTGCCCTGGTTTCTCTAAGGTTTCTCTTTCCAAGCAAAACAATAAAAATGTAAAGAGCTCCGAGGGGTCTGGGAGGAAGTTTCTTACTTGGAGACACAAGTCCACTCCCAGAGGAGGTGCTGAAAGGGCTCCCTCCAAAGCCACGGGAAGCCCTCCCCTCCCTCTGGCTCGTGGAGACAGAGAGGAGGCCATGAGTTTCCCAAGGCGTCCCAGGAGCAGGCCCTAACAAGCCATTTCCCCCATTTTCTAAACCCTTCAAGTCTCAGATTTATATTCTTTCAAAGATGTTTAAAACTGGGGCTTTGCAGCATTGGTATGCACTAGCATCTGCAGGCTTCAGCAACACTAATTTTTATCAGCTCTTTCTCTGACTAATCTGGTAGATGGGTTAGTGGTTTCTTAACCCTGTTTCACAGCTGAAGGAGAGCCAGGAAGCAGCTCACCCAGGGTCAGTGAGAACATGAAGATAAAAAAAAAACAAACAGTCCCAAATCTAGCTGGGGCCATTTCTGCATCTATATCCCTGCATTGAGAGTGTCCAAAATGACTTGACATCTCCTCAGATCCATTAACTTTAAACCAAGAACCCACAGGAGAAACTTGAAGGAAAACATACTGGACTCCTGATACAACAAATGACAAAATGAAACTGATCTGAGGCTGCAGGTCTCCGCGGATGCCTGTTGCTAGCCATGAGTCACCCTCTCTAAGATGTCAAGTGTAGAATCAAGCCACCGAATGAAGAACTTTCCCCGTTCTGTATTTTAATATTTTCATTTCAGAGGGAAAATTGTAATTTGAATAAAAGCACAAGGAGATAACAAGGGCATCGCCTGAGAAAGGCTGCCATGCAGGGTCCCACAGGGCATCTAAGCTTAGTGTCATGACATTGCAGAGAATAGAAGCTTCACCTTCGCAGTTCAGGCCCTCAGCTATTCAGTGGTGCCCAATGTGAGAGAGACCAGCTTATGATAACCAGTAGTCTGGAATATAAACTTTAAGGGCAAATTATTAATAAACAAAAAGGAATATAGCTGTTAAGCAGATCTAATCTTTTTCACCCCATTGGAAAGCATACAGAGAAAGTGAAATTGTCATCCGAAGATTCCTTGATGAGCACCTTCACTGTAAAGCTTAGAAGTCCAGCTCTGCTCCTACTAGCTGTGTGACTTTTTACTGTGCATGTGGGATATACTTTATATTTACCTCTATCTCTCTATCAGTTGGTCTCTATAAATTTACATGGCTCAAACACTAAAATACAAAAAGATATATAACGAAATGAAATATTTCTCATCCATCCTGTCACCAAACTCTCCAGTTCCTACTGCCCACCCCCCAGGGGACAACATTATGTCATTTCATGTTTCCATCCAGTATCTTTATGAATATATACACTAAGAAAAACACAGGGGTCGGCCCGGTGGCATAGTGGCGAAGTTTGTGCGCTCCGCTTTGGCGGCCCGCGCTTCGCAGGTTCGGATCCCAGGCCAGACCTACACACTGCTTATCAAGCCATGCTGAGGCGGCGTCCCACATATAAAGTAGAGAAAGATGGGCAGGGATGTTAGCCCGGGGCCCATCTTCCTCAGCAAGAAGAGGAGGATTGGCAACGTATGTTAGCTCAGGGCTAATCTTCCTCACCAAAAAAAAGAAAAGAAGAGAAAAGAAAAGAAAAATATAGACACGGTCCATGCTCCCTACCATGGCTGACAGGACCCTCTTGTCTGTCCCTGAGGACCAGCTTCATCTTTGGCTCCTCTCATTGCAGGTTTACTGCATCTTTCAGTCCTTTGAAGATGCCATGTTCTCTGGGCCTTTGAACATGCTGTTCCCTTTGCTTGGAACATTCTTCTCTTCCTGAAACACAGTTCTCCCCCCACCCCATTCCCTGGCTAATCTCCCACCCACCTTTTAGATCTTGGCTTAGAATCACTGTGTTTGTGCCTGTCTCCTTCCCTCAGCACCATGCTCTTTCACTCTCATAGGACTTAGTTATTCATTCATTCATTTGAAAAATATTTATTGAGCGCCAACTACATGCCAGGCACTGTTCTAGACTTATCTATCACACTGTATTGTCACTGCCTGCTTCAATACTTCATATATAGAGAGTCACATACCAAAAAATTGCACTGTATTACACTGTAATTCCCATACCATAAAACACGCTTTTAAGTGTATAATTCAGTGGTTTTTAGTATATTCACAAGGTCGTGCAACCATCACTATTACCTAATTCCAGAACATTTTCATCACTCCAAAAAGAAACCAGTTAACAGTCATTCTCTATTTTCCCCTTCCTCCAGGCCCTGGCAACCATTAATCTTTCCAACTCAATGGATTTGCCTATTCTGGACATTTCACATAAGTGGAATCATACAATATGTGGTCTTTTGTGATTGGCTTCTTAGTATAACGTTTTCAAGGATCATCCATGTAATGGTACATAACAGCACTTTATTTCTTTTTATGGCTGAACAATAGTCCATTGTATGGATATACCACATTTGCTTTATCTTTTCATCAGTTGATGGATACTTGGGTTGTTTCCACTTTTTAGCTATTTTGAATAATGCTGCTATGAACATTCATGTACAAGTTTTTCTGCAGACATATGTTTTCATTTCTTTTGGAAATATACCTAGAAGTGGAATTGCTGGGTCATATAACTCTATATTTAATCTCTTTGAGGAACTGCCAGACTGTTTTCTAAAGTAGCTGTACCATTATACACTCCCACCAGCAAGGTATGAGGGTTCCAATTTTTGTACATCTCACCAACACTTGTTATCGTCCTTTTTGATTAGAGCCATCTTAGTGGGTGTGAAGTGCTTCTTTTGAATTTCCATGAGAACAAGGACTCCATCTGTCTTGCTCACCACTCTATCCCAGAACCTAGTGCATAAGTGCCTGACACTTATGAGACATTCATATTTTGTTCAACACACTAAAAAAGTGTTAAATGAATAGGTAAATCAAAAGCTAGATAGACGGTTACAATACTATTGTGTATTTATCTCCCCCATAGAGCTCTGTCGAGGGATCTAGCATTCTTTTTTCTGCACAGTACTGAACCACCCCTCTTCTATTACCATGGTCTCTCTTCAGGGAGGAAATTGGGTTAAATGTAAGCTTTCTTCTTTTTCTTCAGATCACTCATTTAGATCTCAGGTGTGCACAAATTCCTCATTTAGGCACTTAAAGATAGTTTCTTGGGTATTGGAACATTTTGTTTTTTCCTACCTGCATTTCTCATACTGAACTCTTGACTTCCTTCTGCAGGGCCTTTTGTTCACTCCCAAGCACCCCATGCTTGCAAATAGCCTTCCTCCTGTTTCTTTCCAAGCGGGTCACACTGGGACAATCAATACCTGTGACAGACCAGCCCTCCTGTGTTTTGGTTTTCTCTTAATATTCTTTTACACCCTGTTTTGGCTCCTTGATTTGGAAGTATCTGGGGACATTTAGAGCAAGGAAGTCAGGCCAGGGACTAGGTGATGCTCATATCGAGCCCTCAGCACTTGAAAAATAGTTGTTGAATGAATGAATGTGAATTTGTGAGAGAGACATATTGCAAAATGCAGACTTGGTCAACAAATATTTATTGAGTACCCAGTATGTCCCAGGCCCTGTGGTACATGCCCGAATAAAAGGTAAACAAAACAGGGGACTCGCCTTGGACTTAGGGAGTTCCTAAAATCACTAGTTCTAGCTACATTATTCCATTTTCATATCTCTATCTTTTCACTCTTTATCGTACACCTAATGACTTCAAGGATCACATTTTAGCTAAGGAATCTACCCGTTTACTTAACCCCAAAGTAGGAAGTTCTGACTTACTGTCAGCAAAATTCGGAGTCGCAAGTGCCCCAGGGCGCTGTTTACCCGCAAACAGCCAAAAATCTCCCAAATGCTAAGCTTCCTGATCTTCGGGATCCCTGGATGGGGAACCTCCGAAAGAACGGACCGCACGTCCACCAGAGGGTGCTGTGGGGGTAAATTTGTGCCGGGAGGGGAGCTTGACCAGTGACCCTCAGAGCCAGGTAGGCGTCTTGAGTAATTTTCATTCTTCCTACGGTTTCCTTCCCACCCCCTTGAACCATCGCCACCCCTCCCCCATAGGTGGTTCCCCCTGAATAATTAGCCACTTTCGGGGACTTAACGAGTGCTTGCTTTGAAAAGACGCCTTGTTCCGTTCCCGACACCCCGTGGCTCCAGTCACTCAGGTCACTGGTCGGTCGGGACCGGGTGGGTGGGGACCTCCGGGGCGTCAGGGGCCGGGCGCCGCAGGGGCCGCGAAGGGTTAACCCGGCGGGGGTGAGGGGGAGGGGGAGGGGGAGGGGGAGGGGGAGCGGGCCGCGCCTGCGCTCTGCCGCCCTCCATTGTCTCCACGGCGGCGAGGAGCGCCGGCGAGCACAGCCCGGGACCTAGCTGGGCGGCGCGGCTGGCGGGGCCGGCGGCGG